CCCCTATCCCTCCCTGCCCACCCATCCTCCCCAGTTCCTTTCCCTTTGGTACCTGTTAGTCCATTTTTGGGTTCTGTAATTCCGCTGCTGTTTTGTTCCTTCAGTTTTTCCTTTGAAGAAACATAATATTTTTAAGTAAAAGGAAGGATGTCTATTTTAAGATAATGACTAGGAAATCTACCACAAATTAAGACAAAAGGTGGGGGGGGGATTATCTTTTGGAGATGAGCTTCAAATATATATATATATAGACCTACTAGATAACACATATTTTAGATCCTACAGAGAAAACCACACCACATCCACTGAATAAATTATAAGTAGACCTCTCAGAAATAAAAGCAATTATGGCATAAAGCATTTTTATTCCTCATTTGTTTGGTCTGACCCCTGTGGAGTGTTAGAGCTGAAGCTTTAAACACAAGAATAGAATTATTCTCTGGAAAGGACACATTAATTAGATATTTAAAATGGCCCTCTCAAAAATATGACAGGACAGAATATACATCTCTTAGAATTGGTCATAACCTTTTTTGAAATTAATGTCTATTACCTAATACAATAACCAGAAATGGGAAAAAACAATTTGTGTGTATAGCTTTATTTATTACAGATAAAAAGGCCCCTATATAAAACCAAAATGCTCCAAAACAGGAGACAGGTTATGTAAACTATTGTGTGGTGGCATACTATTCTATTATGTATTTTATGGCTTGTGGTTAAGTGAACAGGCTAGAAGCAGACTATCTGGATTTGAATCTCAGCTCTGCCATTTACAAGCCACATGAAATTGGGTTAAGTGACTTAACCTCTGGGTGTGTTTGCCTCAATTTCTTCATCTTTAAAATGGAATTAATAATATCATCTATAGATCATATATTGATCTATAGAATTGTCATGAGCCTTAAATAAATGACAGTGGTGACTGGAATGTGATAAACGTATTATTAAGTATTAGCTATTATTATGAAACACTATGCAACCATTAAAAATAAAAATATTATAGACTAAAGGAATATCTTAGAACATGACATTTTATTTGAAATATATTGTTAGGTTAAGAAAGCAAAAGACAAAATACTATGCAAAATAGAAAATCCCTAAGTTGAAAGTCTGTATATATGAATATATGGAAAAGTGCTGGAATTCTTGAGGATGTATATAATATGTTATCATTACTTATCTCTGTACAGTGACATTGTAGGTGAATGGCTTTTCTTTTTTCAGTTCTATATTCTCAGTTTCTTCTAATTAACATAGAGTGTATATATATATATATATATATGGTAAGAAAACAATAAATTATTCAAAAAATTACCTCTTAGTATAATAAATTTTTGATAATACCCAAAGTTTCCAGCAGAAAAACTCCAGCATAATGTAATTGAACAATTTTCATAAACCAGATATTTTGTTGGTGGAGAATTCTGTATCTTTGAATTTTAAGAAGCTATTTTGAACATGTGAACATTGGACAGCACTTTGGCACATCTAACATTTGAGTTAAAACATTTTAAGAAGAATCTGTAGATAGGTTTATATAATCTGCTAAATCACCGTTTAAGGCAAAATAAACTCAAATGTACCAGAGAAAAGTTAAATGTAAGTGGAGTAGGTCTGCAATGGGTTTATTTAATGGACCCTGGCCACCAAAATGCTATTTATTGAGAGGAATTTTATATTTGCATGATTTGAAGTTTTTACTAAATAGTATCAAAGAACAGGAGTCTTTTCTACAGCCTACTAATAAAATGTCTTTTATATGGGTTGTGCTAATTAGCCAGATGGGTTCAGGAATTTCTTTCTCTGGGAATTGTAAAGAGGTTCCTACCCCACCCCACCCCCGCAGCAAATAGTGAGGCCTCCTGGGCAAAGAAAGAGCTCATTACATTTTAATGGCCTTCGTGCTATTTTTTATTATAAAGTAAGCGACTGAATTGTGATATTTATGCCTCAAGAAAGAAATTAATAACTATTGCCTGCCTCAAATAAGAATAAAGGCCTGAGATATTGACAAAGGCCGCATTTCCCTGAACATCCTATTCAAGTCAATATGCCTTTCACGTGTGGGGGTGAGACAGCCATTATAATCTGCAGGGTGCTTTTGGGTGAACACCCACTGAATTTGTTGGAATTAGAGACACAAATTAGTTTTTACAACATCCATTTTCTCCGTTGCCAGGAAGATTTGTGCAGAACTGTTTCCTGAATTTTAAGTATCTTAAGCAAGAACATTCGTCTTTTTCCAACAAATCAACTTACCAGACCACAAAACTTTGGACAAATTTAAGAAACGACAAGTAGAACACATCTGAAAGAGGATGCCACCCAAGAAATGGGTTTAGAAAGGGCCTGAAGGCGTCACTATTGAGCTCTGTGTCATGGAAGTCTGGGAGATGAAGAGGAAAGACAAAGGGATACTGGATGGCCACAGTTTGTGAAAAATCTGTCTTTGCCTTCTTTTGAAAATAATCCACAGGCACCCAAGCAAAGTTCAATTCTGGGACTGGCTCAGGGCACTTCAATCTTTACAAGCAATGGTACTTAGCCTTTAGTTACTCTTTAGGAGAACAGTAAAAATAAAGCAAACAAATAAAAACAAGCCATGAGTAGGTAAAAATTAAAAAATATATATTTTATCTGCCATGGCATAACTTCATGGGGAAAAAAATCCCTCAAAATTTAGTATGCCATTTGAGTAATCAGATTCCACCTGAGGACCAGAATAGTTTATTTATTCATTATCAAAGACCTGTATGTACTCTGCACTTCATTAAACACTGGGGGTTGAGAGGTGAACACTTCATCCAAGTCCTTGTCTTCGAGGACCTGGAGACAGACAAATGAATAAACAAATTCTGTAACTTCTATCATGTTTGATATGACCCATGAAGAAAACTAGGAATTTTAAATTCTTATTACTATCTGTATTGTTATTTGTTTCAGGGGCTGTACTGTTAGTGTCTGTTAGTGTAGTGTTAGTTCTCCTGTCCTTTAACTGGAATTATACCTAAGTATGGTCCAGCAGCATCCAGGAAAGAGACTGTGTTAGTTTTCTGTGGCTGCTCTAACAAATTACTGCAATTTTAGTGTCTTACCACAATTCACATTTATTATCTCACAGTTTCTGTAGGTCAGAAATCTGGGTGAGCTTCGCTGGTCCTCTGTATAGGGTCTCACAGGCTCAAATTAAGATTGGGTTCCTTGCTTTGGAAAAGAAAGGTAGTTGGCCAAATTCAGTTTCTTGTCCTTACAGAACTGAGGGCCCCATTTCCTTGTTGGCTGTTCAAATTCCTTATTCTTTTCACGTGGCCCCTCCAGTGATCATAAGTTGAGCCCTTTCCATACCTAGGATCTCTGACTTTTGACACATCTCTCTGACTTCCTCTTCTGCCCTCAGCCCTGAGGACACTCTGTTTAAGGGCTCATGTGGTTATATAGAGCCTGCCCAAGAATCCAGAATGATCTCCCTCTCTCAAAGTCTGTAAATTCAACTACATTTGCAAAGCCCTCTGCTGTGTTAACATAACATATTCACAGGTCCAAAGATTAAGGGGGGAGGGGCATTCTATCTATCAAAGATAAATATCAATATTTCAAACAATGGCTTCCACTTAATTACCCCTAAAGAATCTACACCTAATGAGTACGGGTTGTTCTTCTATTTCTAGGACACCCATTTGGCCAGGAGATTGTACCATATGGCTGCTCAAACAAGTCCAGATGCTCACGTACCTGTGTTCTTTGCCCTCATGAAACTGGAAACTGTGCATTTACTCCAAGATATCCTGTTTTTTAATGTAAGCTTGTCTCATATAGGTCCTGAATCTCTAAGTCCAGTAAGCAACTCTTGGGTGGTGGGATGGAAGGAGATGATGGTTCTAAATGGAGTGGGAGGCTTGGACCTTTTTTTGACAGAATGTCTCTTGCCAGCAGTTCACAATGAAATGGAAATGGATAAAATTGGACAACAGCCTTGGACCACACTGGGATTTATTTATGATTGGCCTAATTGTTGCTGTGCTGACCTTCTTGCTCAGAAATCACTATGGGTAGTGTCTGGATCATGGGAAAACCTGCTCCTGGGAAACAGCTCACTTCAGGTTGTCCTCACTAAATAAAGAATTTCCTCATCAAATGTAAGAGTCTGCTGCAGATTTCTCACACACGGCTATAATGGAAAATGGACAAAGCTGGGGACCTGTCTCTGAGAAACCATTTCAGACCTCTTGCTTAGTTGAGGTGACTATTTGGGGGCTGCTGGAGGTGGGTCACCTAAGATTTCCTTACAAACTTGTCAGGTGATCTAGTCCTGAGTTAGGAGTAAACAGCACCCATTTTCACGTTGTCTAAACCTCTCCCATTTTGAGAGGACAAAATGGGTTCTTGCCTCCTACAGACATACTGTGGTGGAGGAAGGGGGAGTTCAGGGATGGAAAGGACATAGATCCCTCAGAATCTGATAAACACAAAAATTACAAAAAGACCTTCATCTTGTGGGAATTACAAATAGACCACATCTTGCCTGTGAATGGCACTGTAGCCTGTAGCTCTGATGAGTTCCTGTGGTGTTCTGTGTTAGGGACTGACTCAGACCCTTGCTGAGGGGCCTATCAAAGAGCCCTTAGCAGTTATGTAGTGAACACCACCATTTGGGCCTGTCCAGGCTGGTACCCTCTCTTCCATCCCTCACTGGAATGGAACACTGTTCCACCTGGGGAGTTTCCTTTGGAGTACCCAGAGGGGGAAGGAACCAACCTCCTGGGACAGAAGCCAAAGGTTCAGTGCTGTCTCCCCTGATAGACAAAGCTGGGGTGGGGGGGCAGGGGTGGGCAAGGGGAGTGCAGGAGCCCCATGCTGGTCCACCTCTCTGAGGTTCAGTTTCCTGCCCTGCCAAGTGGGAAGTTCTAAGAGATCTTAGAGAGCTGGCATGAGGATTAATGGGACAGCATACGTCAAGGGACCACCACAGGGCCTGGCATCTAGAATGAACTCCATAAATGGTAACTTTTAATACTCTTTAAAAGGTCATAGCTTAGTGGGTGAAATTTGGGGACAGCTGAGTTGATGATCTGTATGGTTTCAGTGTGCAGTTAGTTCTCCAGCCAAAATGCTGGGTGTTTTGGCAGGGAAAGATCATTCTTGCCTTCTTGAAAATCCAACTAGGAACAGGAAGAGTTAAGTGAATAATGTTGATCATAATCAGAATGTAGAATGAAATGGAAAATCACTGAATTTGGAAGCAACTTGGATTTGAGGTCCAGCTCTGTCCCTTAGTAGCTCTATGACTTTGTGCATAATTTCTCCAAACCTCAGTTCTTCCTCCATAAAATGGGATTAATTCCTACCTTCCTGGAGAATTGTGAGATTTAAATAAGCCTTAACTTCATGCTTTATAAACATTGCACAAACATCAGCCCCAGAGTTGGCCAATCCAGGCCTGTTTGAGGTCTGAGCGTTTAGAATTTCCTGGACAAAATCCCTGACTTATGAGAGAGTTCCAGTTCTAAAGGAATTGTAAAAGCCTGATTTACAAACATGCAAGGAAGGAGCAGGCACCCAAGTCTCAGGTGAGGGCCTAATGGACAGGGGGCCGAGGATTCTCTCTCACAAGTGTCTGCAGTGTGAGCACATCAGAGATGTGAATAAAAACACACAGGGGAGTGTGGAAGGCAAAACAAGAGAGTCCTGGCTGAAAGCCTGCATGAAAGATGAGCTCCTAAGAGGTAAAGCTTGTGAAAATCGCTTCAGGCAGCAATACAGGAAGACTGTGGCTTGCTATGTAGAGCATGGGTAGAATGAGCTCCTAAGCTTCCAGTTTCAGCTAATTGTTCCCAGTAAATGTGAGCAAAGGCTTTGAAAGCATGAGCCATCAGGGTATTGGAATCGTTCAGCCATCCTTTTCTGGGCCTGTTCCCTGGAGTAGCCACCGTTGCAGTTACGTCCCCCCACAGTGCACGGACAGGCCCCCTGCCGGCTCCTGGGCAGCTTCCCTATAACTGAGAGAGGGCGAAAGAGCCTCCAGCTGGTGAGATGCTTGGGTTCTCTGGTTATGACAAGTGCACCCCTCCACTGGCATAAGGAGCCCCTATTTTTTTCCTGCTTCTGACAGCTTTAAATAAAAATGGATAGTCTGGGGACTACAAGGAAACTTTTTTTTAAACTCTTAAGTTTCTAACTCCCTTTTTCTTCTGTGCTTCCTTCCCTGATTCATTATAAAATTGGCATCACTATTCAAGTCAATACATTTCTTAAAAGCCAGATAATTATTTTTTTTCTAGGAGCAGGCATCCATGGTCATTTTAGGAAGAACATGCTTTAGGAATTCTACGCTTTTCCCCAAAGTCTTAATACTGGGTTTTAACTATTGTGGCTGTGAGTGGCTGGGGAAGAGAGAGTAGAGAATCAAGTCCTGTGGGAAACTGGGCAGGTGGTGCTGCACCCACTCTCTGGGAACCCAGAAAGTGCAGAGAAGATGATGCCATGAGAAGAGATAGGAAGGCCACACACCCGCTGGGCCCTAGGCTCAGTTTTCTGGTTTTTCTTGCTCCATCTTTATGATGAGGCCAGAGGTCAGTACAACTCTGTTTTCACACAGGAGGAAACTAACGGTGGGAGAAGCTACATTTCTTAAGAAAAGATCACATAAGAATGTGATCACATAGCAAATAGTGAAGCTAGAATTTGAGTCCAGATCTGACTGCACAATATATTCTTTCCTCCCTATTACTGTCCCAAGTATCTCTTGCTGCTTAACAAACTCCTCCAAACTTTAGTGGTTTAAAACAACAATCGTTTTATGATATCTCAGCATTGGGCAGAGTGTGTCTGTGTGGTTCTTCTGTTCCACGTGGCATTGACAGAGGTCACTCCCTGTTAGTCACCTGGTGGACGAGAGTCTGAGAGAGTTTCACTCACATCTCTGGCAGCTTGGCACAGATGGCTGGAAGGCTGGGCTCCGCTGTGAGTGTCACATGCCTACACGTCACACGTGACCTCTTCCACGTGATGGTTAGAATCATGGACTTTTTACACAGCAGCTCAGGACTCCCCAAGAAAGTGTTCACAGGGACCAAGGCAGAAGCTGCAGACTTCCTAAGACTTAGCTTCAGGAGCTTCTAGAATATAGATTCTGCCACATCCTGTTGGACAAGCATTAGATTCCACCTCTCCATGGGAGAAGTAGCAAAAAATTTGCAGTCTTATTTAACCTACAAATACACTGTTTAAAAATCTACCAAGGATTGTATTAATTCACTGAGATGCTAAACTGCTTATCTAGGAAGACAAGAATTAGACAGATTAGTAAGATCCATTCCTGGCTGTCTGTGTTTATCCCATCTTTCAGATTGAAGACATCCAGGTGTGTGATGGCAATTGGAGGGAGGAAAAGAAGGCTTCCTCTCTTCTTCAGCCAGGCATACACACATGTACACACACACACAGTTGAAGAATGCTATTCTTTCTGTGCTTTGAGCTTAAGTGACAAGCACTAAGAGGTGTAGAGTCCCAGGATGATTGGGGCTCTCTCCTGGAGCACCTGACATGCAGGCTCCACCCCGTGTCTTAGGACTTACACCTGACAGACACTCAGCAGGTGAGAGACATACCCAGGTCCCTCTCTGCTCCTGCTCATTCTGTTCATTTTCCCTTCCCAAATCCACATGCCTATAGACCTGTCTTCTCTGCCTCATGCTCTGCAGCTAAAATCTTCCTGTGAGATGCAGTCTTCAGCATGGGTTGTCTGCATCCTGTGTCAGTTCTGCTGCTGGATAGGAGCAAACAGGGACCTTTCACATCCTTGGATTGGGAGTAGAGAAATCAGCCTTCACTGGAAACAGCCTCTAGATTGGAATGTATAAAAAAATATCACACATCTTTTTTGCACTATGTTGGTCAGTCCTCTGCTAATGTATCTCCTAAACCTCATTATGCAAAAAAAAACAGAATATCTGTTCCTTCCCATTCTAATATCAAAGTTACCCTGCTGTTACTTTAGCACTTGGAAGGGCCAGGCTCCAGTAATGAAGAATGGGGAAAACCCTCCCAAGCTGTCCTGTTCAAGTAAGGTTCCAGGAGTTACAGATTGGAGACTTTTTGTCTAAAAAAGTAATGGTTTTTAATTTTTTACATTTTACTTTGTATTTTATCTTATTTTTAAATGATTAAAAAATCCAGAAGTCCCATTTTTTCCATAAATCTTCACAAGTTATCAGGCCATGAATATGATCTTTACTTTGTTCCATGTTCAGCTACCTCAATGAGCTTTACTTGAAAATTCCTCCAAGGTTTTTCCCACTTCTCCCTCCACCTTGTGCTGTCCCCACGTCATTTAACAGAAAGAACACACTGACCCACAACACATATGCTGAGTCTCCAAAGAGATTTACTCCTAAGAGAACCGAAGAGTAAGCTGCAGGAAAGCAGAGACGGGCTGTAACAAGGTTCTGTCCCTATCCTCACAATAACAGGCAAGGCAGACCATAATGTATATAATGTAAGTTTGTAATGGGTTCATAAAAATAGTGTTTGCCACAGCCACAGCCACAAAAATTACTTGAGGCATCAAAGAAGGATTTAATTTTTTTTCAATTTACAAGGAACTATTACCAAAAAAAAAAAAGAAAAGAAAATGGGGTGGAAACATGAACTTTGGATTTCATGGCAAATTTTGTTCCATGTGAGGCTATAGGTCTTCCCATCACTTCTGGCTTCCCTTCATTCCTTACTATCACAGAATGAATTCTTTCTCCCATGAAACATTTTGCTTGTATATGCTTAATATTAAAAACTATTAACCTCCTCTAATGATACATTCTTTTTATAAGGAAAGGTACTAACCCATAGCAACAATATATGTGCCATTCTAATAAAAACTTGTTATTAGCAAGAAAAAGCCATAAAACTAAAAATAGTGATGCTACTAGAGCTAAACTGTGGGAAAATAGTCATGTGCTGAATATGCCTTTCCAGAGGCACAATATACCTGAAGTGTTTACAGTTCCCCAAACTCCTGAGCTCCAAAAGTCTCTCTTCTAAGGGTCTGCTCCTGGAGACCCTAAACTAAAACAGTCTGTTGAAGAAGGCATTGCACATCTTGCAGATAAGGATATCCTGGTGTAGC